TAATCAAACTAAGACATTTTTAAGTTTTTGAAAAATATTTTTTTTAACTAAACATGAAGTATTTTAAAAAGTTAAGTCTTTAATTTTAAAGAAGTCAATATTTATCATTCATTTTAAAGAAATAATATATCTATTTAATTCTAACATTTTTTTAAAATTAAAGTTTTAACCAAAGAATTTTGTTTTTATAGAAGTATGACTTCTTTGTGATATATCATATAGATAGTGATAAATTTTTAAGCTTTTGGAGAGTGAAAATAAAAATAATTTGTTCTTTCTAGGATCTTACTGGAATTGATGATATGGAAAGATGTAAAGATATTCTTCAAGCACATAATTGGGATATTGAGGTAATTTAAAAGTAAATTTAGTAATTTATTTTTAAAATATTTCTCATTTTTGGAAATTAATATTTATTAATTGCACAAAATCTTTTTTTCAATACTCTCTTAATATAAAAGTTTTAGATATGTAAAATTCTAAATGTATTTCACACATCTAGGATTTTGTTTTTTGTTGTCCCTGATGATAAGCTTAAAAAACTTGAAGTACTTATGCTATGTGTAGACATGCTTCTTATTACTGTCTCCAATAAAGTAGCATAATGGAAAGACTTGTATAATCATGGAAATTGATAAATTATGGATTTGAACAACATTGTTGATTTATTATTGTAGGCAAAGAAGTGGATATTAAAATCCATTGTAAAGAGTGCTTTTTGATAGAATGTTTAAGAAATAATAATTCTTAAACTGTGTGATCAATATTAGATTACTTGTAGACTGTTTCTTCTTGAAACAGAAATTGAATGTATAATATTTAAGAAGCTGATTTTGATTAATAGAAGGACAGTGGTGATGGTTTGTAAGGAGCTGGAATGATTGCTTGGTAAAATTGGAATTGGAGAAGAGATGAAACAGATAATCCAATAGATAGATGAGAGTTTAGATGGATGTACAAAGAATATTAGAGAAAGACATATTAAGAAGCTGAAAGATTTTTTTTATCTTATCAAAAAAAGAAATGGAGGAAACAGTGTTGGAGGTCTGAGAAGTGTTATAAGGTTTGTAACACGAGTAAATGTATTGGAGCAAGTTAAGGCTCTTTTGAACTCCAGTCTATAGGAAAGTATATGGAAATGTGCCTAGGAATGAGAAGTATACCTTTTCACTATGATAAAAATTAATCTTGATAATACAGTTCTATTCAAATGAAGAAAGTTTAACTGATTCCAATCACTTTTCTAATTGGTTATTTTAATGCCATTTCTACTTCCTTAAATATTTTGTAAATGTCCTATTTCATAACTTGTTTCATTTGAAACTACTCAATTATACATAATAGTTTACTATGTATAAAAAATGATTGAAGATAGATTGTAAAATTAGATTGAGAAAGATCAAATAAGTAAAGTTTTGTAGTATATTTAAATAATGCAAAAATGTAAAGATTTTTTTAATGATATTACTGAGGACAGTTTTCTTTTTGTTTAATATCAGCAATTGTATCACAGAAAAATCTAATTCTAGAATTCTTACAGATAGCATCTTAACAGATATTTTGTTTGGACTTTCTGTTTGAATTAATAACTAGATAATATGCTATCTAATTCAATCTTGACTTCTATCTTTGTTAACATAATCAGGACAACAACATTTGTCCTGATTAACTTTGTTATGTAAGTTTAATATTAAAAACTTAGATGAAACAGAAAAGAGGGTAGGATGGATAATGGTGGAATAGATGAAGGAAGAGAGAAGGCAGTAGAAAAGGAAATTTGGGCAGTAAAGCAGTGGTTGGAGAAAAAGTGATTGATATTAGTGAGAGTAGACAAATCAAAGATGGTTGTAGTCAAGCTATGGCTAGACTTTGTTATGACTGCATTAAAGGGCCTGAGATTCAGATTAGGCAGATGAATTGTGTGGAGTTTAGAAAAGATCCTATGGGGAACATAGATGCAAGGGTAAAAAGAATATTAAAGGACAGCAGTTGCCCAGAGATCATAAAAGGGACTTAAGGTGCTGTAGCTTTGGCTCCAAGATTGTTTATGTATGTAAAGACCCAAAGGAACTATTGGATTTTAAGCAAGTAATAGAGAAGTATAAACTAAAAAAAAACCCTAAGTATGGTAATGAAGGAGCGAGAAGTTGGTTATCTATGGATTGTAAAAAAACAATCAGGTCCTTGATGAGGAATACTACCTTACTACTATGGATTTAGAGTTGTTACACCTGTGTGAAGCAAGAGCAATCTTCATGTTTGCTAGAGGTGTTTGATAAGATGAAGTTTAGCATGCTGCCAAACATGTCGCATCTAATAGTCTTCAAGTTTTGAAGAAAAGTTCTATGGACAGAGAAGTACCCATTTGCCCACCTAAAGCAATTTTAGCAGAGTTAGTGTTAGGAATGTTGAAAGGAAAATGCTGGAGGAATTTTGAGATGAGATGAAATTTTACAGATGGTATGTGGACAACATGTTTGTAATTTGGAAAAGAAAAATGGAAATAAAAGATTGAAAGATTTATTATTGAACTTAATTGAAAGATTTTCTGATAGTACTTTGAGATTAAAGTTAAAAATGGATTTAAAAAAAGGGAGGTTTTGTTTTTGGAAATTAAGTGGTGACATTCAATGTAAAGATGCTGGAAGATGGAAGATTTTCTTAAAAGAAATCCAAAAATATTAATGAAAAATAACACATTGCTAATGTGAAGTGCAACCTAGAAGAATTCAGTTAGAATACATAAGGTGTGTTGCAAAAGTTTAGATCCACTCCATTCAGTTAAGCAAACACATCTAAAGAAACCAACACATACATTTATTTGTGTAGGTAACAGAAACATGTAAAAATAATACATTATTAAACTAACATATTATTAGACAACTGTAAATGTATAAACACACAAAGTGAGATAATCCATGTGTTGCAAAAGTTTAGTTCCATCACGTGGAATTACACATTATTGTCCCAGAAACCCCCCATTTTGCACTACAATGTCAAAAATATGATGAGGCATTTTATCTACAAGTCGCTGGAGCACATCTTGATTTATCTCATCCCATGCAAAGGTAATGGCTATCTGCAGTTCTTTTTGTTCTTATGTTGTTATTGGCATTATGTTGACTTGTGAAGAATAGGATTTTATATATAAGGTCCTGGAGAAAGTAACAAATAAGTGCTGAAGAAAAATCTTGCAAATTTTGATAAGTTTAGGAACAAGAATGATAAGAGGCTCGAACTGAGGAAGTGAAATTGGTAGTGAAGAAATTTTATGCAGGACTGACAAGGAGAACCTTGGATATGAGAGTGAGAGAACATTTTGAGTACTGTAGAAATGAAAAGGGGATGACCATGCTAGTGGACATGGTGTTGAAGAGGAATGGAGAGGTTAAGAGTGATTTCACACTATGACCAACTGAACTAATTGAATCAATTCTTCTAAGTCATGTTGCCATGGCAACACAAGTAGACCAACAAACTTGTAGTTCCAATTAGACAGATTTTAAAAATTTTAATATTTGTGGTTTACTCAGAGCAGCTGATGAGATACAATGAATTGGTGAGTTGCTTTGAAGCTGTAACCAATCAGTTTGAATTTATCAAACTTATGTAGTGAGAAAATATGGCAGAAAATAAAAAAATTGGAAGAATTGATAACAAATATGAATCCACAGATACTATCTTCTTTTAAGGAGTTAATATTACTGAAAAAAGATACTACAGTAAAACCGATCTAAAATGGAAATCTGTCTAAACTTTTTTGGGACAGAATTATTTTCTATGTTAAATGCTACTATAAGCCAGAAACCTGCCCAATGCAGAAATGGAAGAGGTTTTTGAATATGAAGAATGAAACTTAATCTGGATAAAGTGAAAAATTTAAGATTCCACCTATAGACAAAGAAATAAAATTGTCTCCAGGTATAACAGTCATTGCAGTATGTGGCAAACTGTATTCTGAAAATGGTTTTAAACCTTGTCAGAGAAATGAAGCTTACATGATGAGGACATGGAATAAAGTATTTGTTAAGATTAGTCTTTGTTGGAATTAACCAGGGGCAGAATCAAGTACTTTTAATCAACAACTTTTGATAATTAGAATACAGTTCTGCTTGATGAGAAATTATTGTCTCATTAATAATAGTATAAAAAGATAATTTATATCTAGTATATATAAATTAAATAAGGTAAGAACAGATTTTTTTAACCTCTTAAGTGTTTAAATTCAGGTTAAATTATTGTCTTGGGCTATAGCAAGATTATATTCAAAAAAAAGATTTAAAATAGCATTGGCAGATTTCTAACCAGAAACTTTTTTACACAATTTATTTATCAACATAGGAATATTTGAATAGGAATGAATTGAATATTTTTCTATATATGTAAAACATGTACATTTTATGATTGTTTATTAGCTGAAGAATGAGTATTGCAAATTCTGTTCTTTTTCTGAATAAAAGCTTATTGTGCATCAACCACAAAGTTAAACTTTTCAAGCTAAAGATTAAATCACCTTGCTACAATTGCTATGAAGTATTTCTTTATGCTTGATAATATGGCACCCATTCTGTAATCTCCTTTTTTTTAAAAATCATTTTCAATTTCACCAGATTACATACTTTTGGATAAATGGAAAAATTGTAAAATACATTAAACAGATGTAGAATTTGCTGTTTTATCAAATTTTACCAAATATTTAAAAAAATGTACTGTATTTGGAATTTTATTTGGCTTGTGAGGAAGCTTGATCTTTTAGGTGTTCTATCATCTCACTTGTCAGTTAATTTTTGAATTGAAATTTCTTCATCCAAAAGAATGTTAGTTGATGGATAGTCTGTAAAATTAACTTAATTCAAGGGAAATCAGATTATGAGAATTTGTTATAAAATAAAACCAGGTATTGAAGTCAAGTAGCTTTTGGTTTGAATATATTTTCTTTCTAAAATTATTGTGAACCAAAAAGATAATGATTTGCAACTTTTAAAATTTAATTTCAACATCTTGAAAACAATCTCTTTTTGTCTTGATAAATTAAAGTACATTTTTTTTTTTTGTTTTTCCTATATTCCTTTTGATTTTTATTTAAGGAATTATTTTTGAAAGTCTAAGCTTTCAGTATTTTTCAGTAACAGCATAGATCAGAATATGGTAATCATATGGTATAAATAGATAAATAAACAGAATATGGCAAAATCATATGATTTTATGTTATTCTTTATTGTTGTTATTATATTAGACAGGTTGAGCCAAACTAAGATTGTCTAATTTGCTCATTTGCTTCTGCTATATCATATGATCTAATTATAAAATATTCATATATTAATATCTAATAATCTATAAATATATTATAAGGAGAGTTAAAAAAACATTAAAAATATTACTTTTAAATTTTTGAATTTCATATTTAGTTATACAGTGAGATTTTCAAATATTCCATGCCTTTTAAATTTAAAAGTAGCCAAAGCTGGAAAATGATCTGACAGTTATTATCTAGAATATTAAAGTCAATACATAAATCACTGAATAAACTAGAACAGATTGACACAAGAGAATTCTACAAGAATATCTAAGCTTATTCAATTATGTAACATGTATAATTGTAGATGATACAATAAATTTTAAAAAATTCTACCAAGTCTATTACAAACTGTAACCTTTGAAAGCCAAATGTTTTGAATTAGTGGATTTGAGTCAAGATACCAAATGTCCATTCTTTGCTGGTCTTGAATTGAGATTATCAATAATTGTTTTGTTTGAAGATAATTGACTTCAGGCTTGTATGAGGGCTGTTCAAGAAAGGGCTGTCCAATTATTAAAAACTAATATTTAGTTAATGGATATAATAACATGTTTAATCCAACCCAATTTTTTGTTAATTTGAAGACAAATACTTCCAAATGGACCTATAATTTTTTGTGCCAGACTAGAAATAATATAATACTGGTTCTTAAACAAAAGTATATTTTTGATTATTGTTCCAATTATATTGAATTTGTCTAAGGAATGAAGGCATTTTGTTTCCCAATTCATTACAACTCTAGTTAATTATTTTAAGATATTTTTTGAGAGTTGTTATATTCTCTTTGTTTGGTTTTAGTCAACATTGATATAATGGAAAAAGTTATTTTATTATTTTTGTAAAGATGATAATTTCAACTTTTAATCCCTGATTTTTGCAGCAATGCAATTACAATTAAGCAATTTTTTTCTGTCTGTGATTCCTTTATAAGATTTGCTAAGATTTGTGTATCCTGTCAATCTCTCAAAGTTTACAAAGTTTTGCTCTTATAAACATGGAAATAAACTTTTAAATTGATTTTTAAAAATGATCTAAAAGTTATTTGCACTTTATTTGTTTTAGTATTTCTTTGACAAAATATTTCAATTATGTCATTTATTGATGAACATTTTATTAAACTATTTTATTCTTTTTTATTGGTCTTGAATTTTGGGATATTTGAATAATATATTATTTCTGATTATTATATCTGATTATTTCTGTTAATCAAAGAATTTCATTTGAATTCCATAAACTCTTTCTATTTGGAATTTTTTAACTTCCTCCTCAAGGTGATAGTCTCTTATTAACTAATTTAAATTGTGATTTAAATTTCCCAATATTTTCATGAATAGCATTTAAGTTTTCTCTAACTAGTTCTAACTGATTAGTTCATTTTTTGACACAACATTAATAAGATCTTTAAATTCTGTTGATTACATATCTATTCTTAGATTCCAATAGAGTTGACTCACCTGAAGTTTTAGTAAAATTAGTTTTTTTTTTACTTTACGTTTCTGTGGTCTTATTCATGATTTATTTCTTTGTACATTTGATTTATTTATAGTCAGTAGAAGGTTTGTCATCTTGGTGAGTTTGTTAAAGGATCCCAATTTAATACACACTAACAATAGACAAAAAAATGAAAATTATTACTGTGTTCCATTATTTATAATTCAAACTTTCAGAATTTGCTTTTCCATCTATACTTAAAACAAAATAAAATCTTATATAATTATTGATAGTTTATAAATTGCACTGCTGTCAATGGCTGCACACTTTAGCGGTATGGAGTACATGTCAGGAGTTGCAATTTGGCACAGAGTATTTGGTGCCCAAATCATGTGCACATAAAATAAACCAGACTTGTAAGTAGTCAGGGGACCAAGAACCAGGTCAAAATAAAATACAAAATGCTGAGACTGTTTCTACAAACGGGTGCAAGTGCAAGATTTGCGCATGCGTTGCTCGCACCTAGAGCAAAACCATTCTTGTTTTGCCGTTTTACTTGTTTAATGATATATATTTCCTATACTAAGGAAATTAAATGCAGACTACATTAAGTTAAAGAATTAGAATTATAATTAAAGTTCCAATTTATTTTTAGTAATTATAATGTTTCTTTTCAATTATTTTCATTCTAAATTTTCAGTTTTTTCCAATAAAATTTTTGTTGTTTCATTTTTCTTTTATCTACATTTTTGTAGATCAATTAGTTATAATAAATTTAATGAGTATTGGTAATTTTAATAATTGTTTTAAATCACTTTATAAGTGTAACTTAATAAAGAATATTATTTTCAACTTTTATCAGCATTCTCAAAATGATTGTAGGGCTGCCCACATAATAATCATATATTCACATTTAATTCTTCTTGACTGTTTCGTTTCATGTAAACTGTAGCATAAATTTTTATTTTAAAAAAGTTCTTTATTTAAGTTGAAGTTGTTTTTGTTTTTAGATTTAAAGTTTTTAAAATGATGATGCTACCAACTAAAACTTAACTGCAGAAACCAAAAATTATTAAACTGCAGAAATCTAATGCATCAAAGAGTTTGTTATTACAACAAAAATTCTCAAAGGTATTGTATTATTCTCATTTTCAAGTGATGATAATTAAAACAAAAATGAAATACGAAAAGTTATTTATATATTGCAGCCATAAAATATTAAGTATTTCAAACCATTAACAGAAAGAAAATCAATGAGATTGCAATGAACGATGATGCTTTCTTAATAATTAGAACAGAAATATTTGTTCTCAAAGTAGCTGTGTAAAAGATATTAAATTGAATTATATTCACACTAGCTGTTATTGTGTGTTTAATATGTTCATTTATCTATGCTAATATCATTCAAAACATTAATATTTGTTTAAAAAACATTCATTTTTAATTTGTATCTACTTTTTAAATTAAATTTTCTGTATATAAAAATATCTATACATTTAGGTAGCTGTACAAGATACGTTAAACATTAGAGAAGGTACACCTTCTGTATACAACCCTCCACTTTCAGTTCCACCACCTGTTGTTAATCATCCAGCAGATCAAAGGTAATTAGTAATTTTGAATATTTTACCTATGTAATAACTATATTATCTCATAATGAAATTTTAGGTTTTCACTAAAACACAGCAAAAAACTTCATTATTAGAATTCAAAATTTGATTGAACACATAATACTGTTATAAAACTATAATGTAATGCTAAGTAGTAACAAAGTAGTAAAACTGTATTACAATTCTGTAATTGGAAAGTATTGTTTAAAAAGTATATTTACTAAACTGTATACATTATTTAAATTTTTAAATAAAAATAATAATTTTGAAATTTAGAACTTTTTTGATATTTTTAAAAATTGTTATAACATATATTAATTTCTTTAGGATATACTATGCATCTTCTGCATTGCGACCACAGGGTATCTGGGGATGGAGTTACTTCTTGCTGACGTTTCCATTTAATTTTATATATAATTCACTCTTAAGTCTTCTGAGATTTTCACGTGAGTAGTATTAAGATTTAAGTTATAATTACAGGTATCTCTCATATAATACAGTAGTTACATTCCAAAAAAGGTGCCATGTTATGCAAATCCACTCTATATGAAACAAAGGACTAATGCAAAACATTAGTTAGGTTCCAAAAATTAACAAAAGTATACTATTCTTTTTTGTTACTAAGAGAAATATGTTTATTAAAGCAATCAATAATTTATTTCTAATCAATAATTAATTAACAATCACAATTAAAAGTATTGTATTACACATTAATATTAATTTTAGTTAAATCAGGGCATTTTCTTTTTACAAAGTATTGTTGTCATCTCATCTTTTTTGTTGATCTTGATCAGAAGTATCAGCAACATTTTCATGTATTTTTTTTTCATAAACAATTTTTATGAGTAACAAAATAAAAATATGTTATTAACCTATTCGATGTTGAAATTTTTCTCTGTTGCCTGTGACGCCATGTCGAATTTTCATCGATGTTAAGCTTAACAATTTTTTTTAAAATAATAATTGTGTTTACTGTATCATAAAAAATTATTTTTTTATGTTGCACAAGCAAAATAAATATATTGAAAAATATAAAAACAAAAAAAAATTATAATTTAAAAGTTTGTTTTAATATAAAAATTGTGACGCATAGCAACATCTACTATAAAAATGTTCTTATGCAGATGCGAAAATATTCGGGAACGCCCACGCAGGTCAGTGAGGTCAGCACGAAAATTTTCAGGAACAACGTAGGACAGGTTAATCAAAAATTTGTTCAGTCAAGTACCAAAATATTTCTGTATTTCATTCATCATTTTTACAAATGAAGTAATCATTTGTAGGTAAGTAATACCTATGATTAAAAACAGTTTAATAACACTTACCTAAAAATGTTTAAATAAATTTTACTAAATATGAAGATTACTTTATAAAAACAAAACTTAGTGACAATCTTTAGGGCTAAGTCTGAAAGCAATGACAATGACACCTGGCTGATAGGAAAGTTAGTGCAATTTTTTCTTCCTTGTCCTTTCAGTTTTCATTAAAGTAAACGTGACAAAAAGCACAAAATAATTTGAAAATTTCAATATTCTAAAATCCATGTGCAAATTTGAGACAATGCACATACTTACTTGAATAAAAAACAAAAATGGATAACAAAGTCTACACTTAAAAATTGTGAAATTTTGAATGGAGGATTTCCAAAACCATGTTAGAGTGAAACCAGAAGTTGTGTTTTTTGGATATTGGGGATATTCCCAATTTTCAAACTGTGTTAGAGCAAAACCATGTAGTAGTATCATGTTATATGAGGGATACCTGTATATTATTTTAATTGGTGGGTTCTGGTTAATCATAAGTTGTTATAAAAATTTTAATGTAAGTGACAAGTTTATGTTGTTCAAAAATTATTATTAAATTAGTTTCATTAATAGAAATAATTTTTCTTACAGTTAATTTGATCAGGTCTGATCCTCGAAGATGTAAGTAGAATTTCTTACATTTGTTAATAAATTAGTTTGTGTGATGAAATATAAAATTAATTTTGTATTTTGTAGATGATATTAATGTAAATAAAAGAAAAGTAAAGCATAATTTTTAAAATAAATGAATAGATTTTTTTGATACTGTAGTACAACATTTTAAGAGATCCTGAAGTGAAATATTTTTTATTACTTATAATGTTAAGAAATTTGTAATGCAAGTTCTTGAAACTTCTATAAAAAAATTTTATAGAGACTGATAACAATTATAACCTCCCCACTAAACAAATGATCAGAATGTCACAGTGAAGTACAAAGGTCACAGTAGGGATGGTGGCATCCTGATCAAGTAAAGTAAAATTACAACCATATGTACAATTTTAACTGTAGTAGAATAAATAATAAATCACCTTTACAAAACTTTGACATCTTAACAGTACTATCAAAAAATGTTAAGCTCTACAATATCAAAATTTTATTCATTTAAATAAAGTGCATTATTTAGAGAACTTTTTGTTTGATTTCAACAAGATATTAAGTATTGTATTGTAGAATTAACAATCTTTATTCATTTATATTAATTATATATAATTTTATTTACAAAAATCTTGTAGATAAAAAATAAATATAGAAATTCATTTATTTTGTTAGTTGTAACAGATCCAGTAGGAGATGTGACAAATTTCATCAGCAGATATGAAGAATCTTATGGCAAATGCCATCCTGTTTTTTATCAAGGAACATACAGTCAAGTAAGCAATAAATAATAAAACATCTAATATTGTTGTGGCAGTTATATTACAAATATTTGTGTAAAAATTATTGTAGGCCTTAAATGACGCAAAGCGTGAGTTAAAGTTTCTTTTAGTATATTTACATGGAGATGATCATCAGGATACTCCATATTTTTGCAGGTTGGCTTCTGCTTTTCATTACTATAAAACAAAAGTCTACTTTTATAATTTTATCATTTTTATAATTGAAATTTATTTCTGTTAGGTCAACACTTTCAAATAAAGAAGTAATAGAATTTGTCAATACAAATATGATATTTTGGGCTTGTTCTGTTACATATCCTGAAGGTTACAGAGGTAATTTTTATTGTTGCATTAAATTAAATTGAGTATATGTGATAATTGTTTTTATATTTGTTTTTCTCTAAATTTCATTATTTATTAAAATTGAATTATAAAATTTAATTCTTTTATAAATATTTTCAGTTTTTACTTATTTTGATTTATATAGAAAAATTTTTTATTAGAATCAATTATTATTGCATTTTTGAATACTATCTTATAGTATTTGTTTTTTCATAATCATATGACTTTATTGGCAGTGATTATAATATTCTAACATTTTAAATAATTTATTTTAAATGTTTAAACAGATAACTAAATTTTTTTGTTTGGCATGATTTTAAATAATATAAAATTGTATTTAAAATTATTAATTATATTTTTTTTTCTCTATCTTTTAAATGTGTAAAAGTAATAGAATTGTATTTAACATTACTTATCTAATTATTGATAGAACAAATTTTTTAGAGCAAATTTAAAAGTTGGTCTTTTTTCTTTTTAGTTTCACAAGCTTTACGAGAAAATAGTTATCCTTTCCTAGCTGTGATTGTTTTGAGAGAAAACAGAATGACAGTAGTTGCAAGGTTAGAAGGTCCTTCTGAGCCTGAAGAATTGTTAGAAAGATTATTGCAAATTATTAATGATAATGAAGGTTCACTTATTGCAGCTCGTTTAGAAAGGTCAGAAATAACAATTTAATATTGATTTTGTAAAATTAATTTTTAGAAGTTACAGTAATTTAAAATGCTAAATGTGTATTTTATTTATTTAGGCAAGAACGTAGTCTTAATCAAACTCTGAGGCAACAACAAGATGAAGCTTATGCAGCTTCTTTAAGAGCAGATCAAGAAAAAGAAAGACGTAGACAAGAAGAAAGAGATAGAAAAGAACTTGAAGAAAAAGCAAGACGGGAATCTTTGTTAGCTGAACAAAGGAGAAAAGAGGTTTTATATATTTTAGTGAAATTTTCTATTATTTAGCAAATTATTCATTATGCAGTAAAATTGTTTAAAATGGAATCTACAAGAGATGGAAAAATTTTTATCCTGACAATTCCTATTTACACAGATATGCATCTGTACAAGACAAAATCTGTTCAATATGGAAATGAAAACTAATAAATTCGACTCATGGCTAAAATTAATTTGTGTACAATGGAATGTACTTAGTTGTTGAAGTTTGCTAGAGCTTTTTTCTTATCATTTATATGGTGGTATGAATCAGCTGAAAGAAAATTCCTAAAAATGTTGTGTAGTTCACCTCTATATAGCCAGAAAACATGTAGGTTTCCTTGAAAGTAGTCCCAAGGAAATGTCTTGAAAGCAATAACTGTCAAAATCCATAACTGTCAAAGTTGTCAAAATCAGCAGCTTGCAGAAGAGACAGAAAAACAAGGTTTATTTATTTTCGCTGAATCCATTTTAAAGTTCAGAGAAATGGAAATGTTTGTTCTCTAGAAATGAAAATTTGAGGAAGAACATTTTCCTATAACCAATCTGCCATCAGAAGTCCAAAGATAAAAGAGAATGAGAGAATAACAGTTAGAATTCTAACACAAGCTGCATAATTTCTCAGTGTTTTTGATGTTGCTACTTATAAGAAGAAAGTTGAGCATCTGACAACTTATAGATTGTTTCTAAGTTGGTAAAATTCAAACTTACAACATTAAAGCAGAAAGCTGAAATCTAACAAGAATGATAAGAACAAACAATTCTTTAAAACAAAAGCTAGAAAGGCTGAAAATGAAGAAATCAACGAATTGGTATTTAAATGGTTTGTGGATGCTAGGGCCCACAATTTTTCAGTTTCTGACCGAATTTTACAAACAAGCAACATTAAATGCCAAGAAACTGGGTGCCACACAGAATTTAAAGCATCCAATGGTTGGCTAATGAGTTTGCAGCATTAATTGCCAAGAAACTGGGTGTCATACAGACTTTAAATAAAGCATGATTAGCTAATAAGTTTCAGAATACATTGTGACATTTCATCAAATTCAGCTGTCAGAGAGTGAAAATATATTGATGAGAATGTTATTGATGACTGGATGAAACAGTTGTCAGAATTAACGCATGCATGGATATTATTCAAAAGATATTTACAATGAAAATGAAACCAGTTTGTTTTTTAGAGTTTTGCTAAATAAGACACTAACTTTTAAATGTGAAAAATGTGTTGGTGGTAAACAGTTGGAGAGGTTTACCATCTTTTGTTGCAGCTTAACAGGTGAGACAGAAAAGCCAGTGGTTATTGGAAAATCTAAAAAGCATGTTGCTTCAAAAAACTGTCATGAAGTTGACAGTGATATGGGAAGAAAACAAATGTGCATGAATGACAGCAGTTTTCTTGGAAGAATGGCTGATTGGATTTAATGCTAGAATGAAAATGCAGAAGACAAAAGTAGTTCTCTTTCTAGACAATGCAATGTCTCAACAACAAATTGTTTTATCCGATGTAGAAAATTGGTTTCTTCCTCCCAACACAATGAGTGTTACTCTGTCATTAGATGAAGGAATCATTTTTACCTTGAAATCTCACTACTGCCAAATGCTTTTGCATTCTCTTATTTCAAACATGAAATTATGAAACTCAGTTTCAGAACTTGCAATGAAAATCAATATAAAGTTGCTCTACAATGGTTGGAAAAAGCATGGAAAGATTTACGGAAGACCACTTTTCAGAATAATTTCCGGAAGCAGGTTTAGCTGCTGCTGCCCCTGAAACTGCAGAAAATGACAAGTCATGGTGACCTGGAGATGAATCACTATGAAATGTTAGGATATTTGATGTACCACATGTTTCACTAATATTTAAGTTGAATGTTATGTTTCCACAGGCAAATTATTGTCTAAATCAAGTGGGATTCAATTGCTTGAAAGATATTGTAGAAAAGAACAAAAAGGGTGACAGAAGTGAAGAATGAATGTGTTGACAATGCTAAGAAAAAAAGGAAGATTCAAGAAATGACTGCAAAATTAATTCAATCTTTTACTATTAAGTAATAATTATTTATAGGAGCTATCATACATTGAGGAGTTATCACAGGATATATCATACATAATATAAAGTTATTCATAAAGCTTATTTATTAAATAAATATTCGTGACTATTCTGATCACCTAAAGTACATTTTGCCTTAAAATACCATGGTACAGCCCTCATCAGTTAGGAACTTACAGGTCGGATATGAACATATAAGACTCTGACAATGGTACATTTTACATGTCTAAAAATGTATGTACTACAATGTTAAAATACTATAAACAAACAGCTAGCTGTCAACAGTTGCACTTACATTATACTAATTACGTAATACAGTGGGTGATTGGTTAATGAACATAATCTGTTCCAAGACTTTGTTCACTATCCAAATTGTTCATTAACTGATTGTCGATTTACCATAGTTTTTATGGGAATTCTATTAATTCGTTCTGGAAACGCCAAAAAATAAAAATTATATACTTTCTTACTACATTTATTTATATATAATAGTAAAAATACATATATATGCAGTCTTGCATTTTTATTAGTCATGTTTTTTCCGTTTGTGGGAGTTAAAGAATCTGTCTCATGTTGATTGCTTTTCTCTCTTCTTTGGGATTTTTCAGAAGTAATTACAGTAGAGCGTCAATCATCGGAAAGAATTCCAGTCGGCAAATTTAAATTTTCGCCAGTGCTGTGGTGCTGCAATCTTTGGCTATGTCTTGGGCTACTCAAATATTTTATGTTTTTGTTACTAAATTAACTTCTGAAGTATAATTTTTTATTGTTTTTATATTTTTCAATATATTTATTTTGTTTGTACAATTAATTAAATCGGCACTGCACTACACCGGGATAGAATAATCAAAAAACAACGTACAATGAACCTGTTTCCGGTGTGCTTCTCTGTAAACGAAGTATTACTAGCGCTTTCGAACTTGAAGTTCTTCCTCAGGTAACATGTCCAAGCGAACGCCATTCAAATTTGATTGAAAAAAGAACATCATTACGAATTTTCTCGTACGTATCGCTGGCGTCATTGACGCATGCGCCCCTTCGCTGGTTCTAAATTAACGTAACTTTTTGTCTACGAGCACCTGCCATGCAGTTGACAGGATGATCTCGTCTTTGTTGTTAATGCAATTGTCGTCTTTAAGCGTAGCCATACATATGTACAGGGCCTCTAGCCATCTAAGGTGGTGTGTGTACTTTGTAGTGCGGATTACCTTGGCCTGGCTGAATAACGGTTCTATTTCCGTATCCGAGGCATAGACGGCAAGAGCGGTGTTTTGCCTTGCATGTAGAATATCCGCCATGTGTTCTTTAATTCTCACCTCTAAGGAGCGCTTAGTGGATCCTACGTATATCAGGCTTCTGTTCCATCTATGATCAATCATTGGGATGGTATATACCCCTGGGCGTCGTTCTTTGTTTGGGGTATCTTTCCCGTTCCGTAAAATGTCAAAAATTGTGGCGCATCTTCTATACGCGATGCGAATATTCTTTTTCTTCGCTATTGTGTTGTAAATTGATTTCAGGTACGGATTGTATGTAACC